TTTGTGATTTCTTCCTTTTCATTCCCAATTGCATGGATTTAAGTCCTTTCTTTACTTGTTTTGATAAACGTTGGCTAAGTGTTCGTGTATTTAATCTTTTGAATTTAATCATTCATTCTTTGTATATTTTTAGTCTCAATTGCATTTTTTTCTGCTCTGATTTTTTTTAATTCATTAAGTTTATTGGTGCATTTTAGGTATACATTATGTTCACATTATCATTGGGAATTTGTACCTGTACATGATATATCTTGGTTCTAGTTTTTTCCCCATTCCCCTTCTCTCCCTTCCACCCCGCCACCCCTCCCTATTTACAAAAAACTTTGTTTTTGTTTTTTCCTTTTCTCATGTTTTTCCTTTCTCTTCTCCCCCAACCCCCACTTCCCCTTCCCCTTTGGACCTTTTCTTCCTATTTCACAATATCTATTACACATTTTAGTCCTCATTATACTTTCAGTTTCTCATAGGAAACTATTTGGTATTTACACGTGTCCTATTTATTTCACTTATGAGTATGGCCTCAAGGTGCATCCATTTAGCTATAAATGTCTCTAGTTTATCTTTCTTTATGGCTGAGTAGTACTCCATTTTATTAAAAAATTTAAACAGTTTTTTAGATTGGAGAAAATTAGATGGAAAGGAAAACTTGCTAGCTTTAGGAAGCATTGAGAATTGGAAGGATAAAACTTCATGGATGAAATTATTCTGTGGCTGCCTGTCCATTTCAAAGGATCTTATTCCTCTCACATGGAGGATGTGTAGTTTGGGCATTAGTAGAATCCATCATTTTCACTTGTATCATAAAGCTGTTGAAACACCCTGGCTTGATTTGCCCGAAAATAATTTTTTTTTTTTTGGTACTGGTGATTGAACTCACGATCTTGCAATTGTAAGGCAGGTGTGGTACCACTGAGCTAAATCCCCAGCCCACCTGAAAATAATTTTGAAGATGGTTAGATGAGGGGTGGAGCTGTTAAGGATGTAAAAGAAACAAATTGGCCATGAGTTGCTAATTGTTGATAGTGAAAGTCTCTATCTTTGTATGCTTTGACATTTTCTGCAATAAAATAACTTCATCTGTCATCACCCTGGCTTTGCAGGATCAAAGTGGTTCAATCTAAAATCAGGAAAATAAGTAGAGTGCTTTTTTTTGAAACCTAGAGCCTTGAAAATTTTTATTCTTTCCTATAGCTTATCTGGGCAGATTTAAGGAATGCCTCTGTTATGTCTAATTTCTAAATAGTTAAGTCAATATTTGTCATCATGACTACTTGTTTATTATTTGAAATTGACTTTAATATTTGACTGAAAATGGAAGCATTTATAAAAATGACATTAGATTTGACTTATTTCATTAATCCATTTCCCAAGGGAGGTTACTTTCTATCTTTATAAAGTTAAGAAGTAATGAGTGCTAATTATGGTGTCAGTCTTAAGTATCCTTCACTCGCTCAGTGTGGGATAGAGAAGTGTCTGACATGTCATTTCTTCTGTATTATTTATAAAACAGGACAGTGAGATGTAGGTCTAGTGTAATATAGGTCTAATTTGGTTCATTCATGAGAAATAATGCTATGCATTTAAAAATAATAGAAAATAGGAAAATACTATATATCATTTACAGTTTCTCAAATTGAGATTTCTTAGTTTAACTGTTATCTATTTTTGTTATGAAGAATCAATCCAGAAAAACTTATAGATGTCCAGAAAAAATTGGAATCCTTTCTGGCCCAAGATCAAGATTTAAAAGAAAGAGCTCAAAGGGTAAGTCGTCTTTAAATTTGATACCTTTATTGCAATGGCATACATAATAATGTTCATCATTTTGTGGTACTTCTTTGTTGCATGGTCATGCCTCAAATATTCAAGCAATGTAGTTTTTGTGTTGATAGGTCTAGATTGCTCATTAAATTTTCAGAAAGTGTTTCTTGTAGTAACCTGTCTGTAGTCTAGAAAGAGACCTACTGACAATCCTCTGTAAGATGATTTTTAGATGTGTAATGGCCTGATACATAGTATACTAGATAAACTTTTCATTTCTTTAATAAAGTTGCTGTAAATCTTCGTATACTTGATAAACTTTTCATTTCTTTAATAGAGTTGCTGTGAGTCTCTTTAGGAGGTCCTGTTTTTGCCTCTTTTCTACTATCATACCTTGTAGTTATATGATCTTTGCTTCTCCTGTACCACATCGACAAATGAGCTGGTGAGTCGGGATTTAGAGGCAGGATTCTATTTTAGCAGATGAATGACATGGGAGGAAGAAAATAACAAGGAGATGTGGGAATGGCAACTAAGTTGATAAAGTAGGCCAGGCAGTATGGTCAAGTGTTTAATAGTCAGGCTTTTATATTACAGTTTTTTTTTTTTTTTTAATATTCTAGCCATTTCACTCAACTAATTTATTTTTATTTATTTATTTTTGTGGTATTGGGGATCGAACTCAGGTCCTTCCACTTGCGAGGCAGGTGGTGGAACCACTGAGCTAAATCCCCGGCCCCTATATTACAGTTTTGAAACGGAATATTCCCAGCAAACATGTAAATTTTATTTAAAGATCACAATATCTCTTTTTTCCTAATTTACTTTACACGTTAGCAATTTATTGTTATCTTTAAAATGATATTAATGACCAGGCTAAAATTTGAGAGCTTACTATGTGCTAGGCACTTAGTCATGACATGACTGTTTTACATGGTTTTTTAATTTACTGTGTTATTTAGCCTTCCCAACAACCTATGAGGTAGATGCTTTTGGTTTTTACAGATGAACTTCTAGCTTGAGAAAATTAAAAATTATGTAGGGTCACATAGATATTAAAATGGCAGTCTGGAGATTCAGATCCATGTCTTTGAGAACTCTGCTATATCAGGAGAAATTAATCTAAAATATGAGAAATCCAAATACTGAACTATGTAAAATTGCACTTCTGTAAGTTCACTTCACCTGAAATTCAGTGGAAAGGATCTTTGAACAAATTGATTTTTTTTTTTTTCTTAATTTTTGGGCATGAAACCATTTGTGTGCATATTTTAAAATTATCTAGCAAACATTCTTCAAGCTAGGAAGCTTCTTTTAGAAGCTTTGGGAATAGTACACGTGTTAAAAAACATGAATTCTGTAATATGACTTATTGCATGATCCGGAGGTCATTCAATTATGTGTCAGCAAAATTGGAAGGATGTTGTTTTATTTGTTTGTACATACAACAAACGAGCCTTCCAGAACAAAGATTATAGAATAGCACATTGAAATAAATGATGTGATTTATTGGTTGTTATGCATGGTTTAGCAGAATGGCAAACAGCAGCAAGCTATCTAGTTTCATAGAAGTGATGTTTTAGCTCTTGATTATAGTTTGGATAGAAATAAAATGATAAGCAGCTGGAGTGATTTCTTGTGGGTGGTTGTAGGGGAAAAAATTATCCTTGAATTGGAGCCATTCATTCTTGTTCATTCCTATGCAGACAGAGAAAACTGTTTGGAGTTAGTTGGGTAGAAAGGATTGGTATAAAGTTAGAGGAAAATATGAAGTTTAAGAAATATGAGATGGTTTAAATATACTTTACAAAAATTAATTTAAAAATAAAAAAATTAATTCAATGTATTTTGTTGCCTGTTAATTTTATGAATTGATAATGGACCAGGACATTTACTTTTTGATTTGTAAAGTTCTAACATGATTATATCTTTGTTTTATTTTTCTTTTTCTTTTTTCCCCGTTAACTTTATTCGTACATTTTAGGTATAAAATACAGTTACATTCATCATTGGGATCTTGTACCATTACATGAGTCTCTTGGTTCTTATTTTTTTCCCCTTCCCTTGCCCTCCCTTCACTCCCTCCACCCTTCCCTATTTGCAAAGACCTTGTTTCCATTTTTTTCCTCTTCTCATATTTTTTCCTTTCCCTTTTTTCCCTTCCCCTACCCTTCCCAATTCCCCTGCTCTTTTAGACCTTTTCTTCCTGTTGCACAATATCAGCTATACATTTTTTTAAATTACAATATTAAGATCTAGGAGACATTACTACAGATTTTACAGAATTTAATAGGATATAGAAAGCATATTACAAAAATCTTTTTTGAAATAAATTTGACAACTTCTAAGAAGTAACTTAGAAGACAAATTAATGAAACTAACTCTGGAGGAAGTATAAAATTTGAATAGCACCTATTAAAGAAAGTATATTCCTAGCTTGAAAACCTACCTATATGACAACAGTAGGCTCATAAACATTTTAACTGATAAATTTATATCTTTATTTTAAACAAAAATTGGAGAAAAATATTCAGGATGATAACTTACTTGAAATTATAGTAAACAACAACAAAAAAGGAAAAGATGTAGTAACTTTTTCCCTGTTGTGATTTTTTAAAAATTTGGTACTGGGGATTGAACTTGGGACCTTGTGCTTGTCAGGCAGGTGGCCGAACCACTGAGCTAAATCCCCAGCCCTCCCTGTTGTGATTTTGTTAAGCTTTACTTAATACAGTAAAATTTTATTTTGTTGAAAAATTATCTTTTGACCATTATCCTAATAATATTACCTATAAGAAATATTTACTGGTGCTTCCTGTATTACAGAAGGTATTTTATACAGATTTTTCTCATTTTGTTGTTGTAAGTAGATGTTACTATTATCTTTTTGATAACTGAGGAAACTGTCATTTAGAGAAAAAGAAATTTGCTCAGCTAATAAGGAGCACAGAATAGATAAGGTACTCTGTATTATTCCAATGTCTGTGTGTTCCCATTATTGTAACTGAATATTAACTTCTAGAGTAGCTTTTTGGGAAGGCGATATTCTGTGTTGAGTTGGCTTGATGAAACCGAATGCACAATTTCTTCTACTATTACAGTTCTAAAAGGTAGATTTTTTCATGTGTATATGCACAAAATGGAGATATGCTGACTTCTTGTGGTTTTTCACTGTTGTTGAATTTATCCTTTGGTTAGTTTTCTTTCTACAGTGGACCCTTGACTTACGAACTCGACTGGCTCCTGAGGGAGGATTGGTTAAAGTTCATACAGCTGAGATCTGGATGTTTACCTAGGTATACACTATAGATAAGAAGAGGTAGATGAATCTTCCATTAACCTAATTATCCCAGGTTGTTCATATGTCAAGCCGGTCATAACTTCAAGGTCCACTGTATTTTGGTCTAACTTCATCTTCTATTTCTATTATGTTGTACTTCTCAACCTTTTGTTTTACAGTGTTTTGTCTCCTACATACGTTCAGTATATCTTATGAAGGATAAAGAAGTATTTGATGTGAGCAAGTTACCTATTACTGAATATGCACTGTAAGTACATAATATTGCTATCATTGTGAATCCTCAAAGTTAGAGGAAAACTATTTCCAGCTTGGTTATCTGAGAGTCCTAGTTTAAACCACTCTGCTTTACCCTAAACAGATCTGTTGAAGATCTACAGAGAAAAAGATTAAATCACCTCTGTGGACAATTAGCTAGGTGTTCAGTTTTGTATTTCTACGTTCTGTATGTTCTGTGTTTTGGTATTTCTTATGGGTACTTGCAGTTATTTTGGCAAAATTTCAGTATTTAGTTACCATTATATGGATGGAATGTTTGTTTTTGTTTTGGCTGAATATTTGAAGGATTTACAAAAACAAATGCTTTTTGCCTATAGAGGTGTTCATTCTTTAAGAGAGTACTCCTTGTAGGACAAACATTGACAGAATCCTATAGAAGCACTTGTGAGCATCATTTTACTTTGAATATCAATATGGCATTTCCCAGACTGCGATGAACTTGTGCTAGGCAGTTCTGAAAGTTTGGCCTGCTCTCCACGAATTTGAGTGCACTTAACTTTAAATTTAGTCTGACAGAAACTTTCATATGTGTAAGCAGCTGTTTTCTATCTTGATATTAGATTGTAAGTTTAATATAACATGTAGTTTGTCAGTTACACTACTTTAGAACCTTTAAATTGCTAGATAGCAGTGTTAAGGCCACTGAGTTTTCATGGATGGAAAACTGAGTGCCATGGATAACATGGTTTTGTTTGCTTGTTTGCCAGTTCATACGTTCACCAGTGCTGAATATGATCCCTGGTATAGGGTTTAGCTGATTTTTATGCTGTATGTGACATTCTGTCCTGGCTTTCTGATTGGCTTAGCTAGAATATTGGCAACCTAGATGGATACAGGTTTTTACTGCAGGGCCATATTTAGGAGGTGTTTCGTTATATCAGATTCAAGTAAATATCATGTTTGCAGTTGAAGACTTCTGTGATGCTTAGAAAGGGTAGAAAATTAACTTGATCCTAAATTATTGATACAGTTTAAATGTTGTTTTTAGTATTTGTGGCTATTTAGATGTATAATTTTCTTAGGTGTATAATTTCCTTTCTAAGTCTTTGATGACTGAAATAGTGCTGTGTATGTAAGATACAAAACAAAGTTTAAAAAATTGGCTGAAGAAATATTTTTGAATGTCTAATATGTATGTGCAGGTCATTGTGCTCAGTGTTAACATACATATATTTGTACTTCTACCTTCAAGAAACTCAGTTTTAGTAGCTGAAAAAGCATATAAATATAAATGCATTAAATATGTCAACTAATTATTTACAATAGCTTTATGAGCTAGCTACTCTTCATCAGCTCTTTTTGCAAACAGCAAAAGGTCTAGAGAAGGTTTTTTGTTTTTGTTTGTTTGTTTTGCACTGAGAATTAAACCTAGGGCCTTCACCCTGAGCTAATTCTTCTGCCCTTTTTTGTTTTGAGACAAGGTCTTGCTAAGTTGCCCACGGTGGGCTGGAACTTGTGATCTTCCTGCCTCAGCCTTGCAGAGTGCTGTGATTATAGGGATGTGTGACCACACCCACAGGTCTAGATCAATTAAATAATGTTCCTGAGATCATACCATCAGTGACAGCACCAGAATTTGAACCTCAACAGTCCTATTTCTGAAGCTCTGCTTTTCAGTATGACACCTCTGTTTCTGACATGACTCTTGTCATGTAGGAAAAAGGCAGTGAATCCGTATTATAACAGCTGTTTACTAAAGTAGTCTTTTCTTTAAGATAGTATTTCTAATCTACCAGTGGGAATTAAGTGAAAGGTGTTAGTTTTGATCCTCAGTAGGAAAGAAGACCTAATCTTAAAATGAATTTTGATTTCATATGGAGAAAACAAAAGTTTTTTTCTTGTTATTTTTTAAATTAAAGTTTACTTAATAGCAGTGATTGTGCCATAATTTGTTTCCGAAAGGGGGTGGGGTGTGATGATACTCCATTTCATTTTTTGTAGAGAAATGGATTTGACCTTTCATGTCCCTGTCTTTTTCATTCTATATAGTAACATATTCTACAAGGTACTTTCATATATTTCTTAATTGGATCTTCATAGCAACAGTGAGATAGGCCTGGTCAATATTAATGTCCCACGTTGTGAGAAAGCTGAGGGTGAATTGGTGGGTTTGGTACTGGAACTGTGACTCTTGTTTCCGTTTCAGCACTCTTTTATCCATATTACTTAAAGAAAAATCAGGTATCTAAAATGTTTTTGGATAGATATTCAGAGCATTTTGAGTTGCCTTTTGGATCATTTAACCTGTCAATGTTAAGTTGTGTCTCAGAGGAACCTTTAGGAATGTCTGATATGGAGACCATTGATTGTAATTATATTTTGAAGGGGGAAGCGCAGTGAACTCATCTGAAGTGTGAGCATCTGTTGGTGTGATTTCTGAAATCTCTTACTAGGTTTGTGGTAACAAGGGTGTATCTTGAGGTTAGTTAGGAGGCTAGTTTTACTTTCAAAGCACAGACCTCCAATTTGGACAACTGCCACTAGATGTGACAGGAGACCTGGGGTCAGGCTGCCTGAGTTAAGTGCTTATCAAACTGTGGTCCTCATAAGAGAGACTAGGAAGAGAATGTAGTTAATTATGCCCCTTAAAGAAAAATATAATGTTAAGCCATGTGTAGTGTCACATGCCTGTAAGCCCAGCACTCTGGGAGGCTGTTCAATTGTACTGTAAATACACTGTACTTTCAGTGTACTGAAATAATTTTCTTTTCTTTTTTTTTTATTTTAAGGTCTCTTGGTCTTGCTGTGGCACCACGAGTAAGATTTCTTCAGAAAATGCAGAAACAGCCCACTAAAGAACTGGTTAGGAGCCAAGCCAACAAAATAATTGAGCATAAGACTCCATCCCTAACCAATGATGAAGTGGAAGAATTTAGAGCCTATTTCAGTGAGAAAATGTCCATCCTACAGAAAAGTGGGAAAAGCTTAGAAGAAACAGAGTACAGGGTGGCTAGTGGTACTAGTGATGAAAAACTGGAGGAAGAGGAGGAAGATGATGAAGAAAAGGAAGAGAAACTGGGAAAAGCAAGAGAGTCTCAAACTCAGTCTGTTCCTAATATTGATGAGGCACAGAAGGTCAAGGATGTCCATGTGCAGTTCTTGGACAGAGATGATGAGGAAGAAGATGGACCTGATGATAATTTTCTTAAAGTGAAGCGGCGTGATGTGTTTGGGTTGGATCTTAAAGAGAATAAAGCATTACTGGTAAGTTTACTCCTGATAGAAGGTCTTTTGTTACATCTTTGTTTATTGTGGCCAGTTGTTGCTTTTTCAGAACTCAGGAGAAGTAAGAACTAAGAGAAACTTGGAATGACTCTTTGCAGTGAATTCTTCCCTCTTTGTTCCATATTTAAACACAGAATAAATGCCAAAGAATTCTCCTATTTTTCATAATAACAAGAATTCTAAGAGGTTGTTGACTTTAATCTCATTTACTGGCTCTCTGATGATGTGTTTTGAAAGTAGCCAGTCATGATTGTGACCAAAGAAGGTGGTGAGGTTCATTGTTTATGGTGTGTGTCAGGTAAAAGGGCCGAAGACCAAGATCAGACCAGGCCACAACAAGCCTTTATTATGGGAATAGATCTGCCGGGCTGTCTCTGAACAAAGGAGAGACAAAAGCAATATGGCCGGGTCAGGGAGAGTCTTTTATAGAGACTGGGGTGGGGTTTGTAGGGGCAGAGGTGGGGTTGAGTGAGGTAGTGACTAGGGAATGGAGGAGCCCATGATGTCACTAGGTGGTAGGAGGTGAGTGAGTATTAGGTTACTCTCTAGGCGGGAACAGGGGCATGCTGGGAAGAAGGGTTTATTCTTTGGTGGGAGCAACCATCTTAGCATGATGTCACACAGGGGAGGGGGCAAGGCACGATAGGAAGAGGGCAGCTACTATACATAATAGCTGCTGAGGTGGTGGGAGACCTATCAGTGTGAAGATCTTTTATTATGATTTCTTTTTTTTTTTTGGTACCGGGGATTGAACTTGGGTCCTTGTGCTTGCGCAGCAGGCAACGAAACCACTGAGCTTTGATTAAATTGTTGTGAGGAGCAGTTGTAATTACTTAAATCTTTCTAAACATGAAATTAACTTTTGGTGAGAGATATACTTTTGGGAACCAAGCCAGAAATTGCATACTTCTCTTAAAGGCCGCTTATTAAAGTTTGCATGTAGCTTCATTCCCTTTTTTTCCCTTTAGAAGCACTTGGTAGGAGTAAAACAGAGAACCTAGATAAAGCACCTATTTCTTTGGATGCTTATAAGTACACAGTATGTGTTTCTCCTTCCCCACCCTTATTTCTCTTCCTGCTTTGTATCCTTTTATTGTTGGCTATCTCTTAAAAAAACAAATAAACAATGCAGCCCAACTCTTACAGTGTTTAGTAGGAAATAATGTGTTAGGTTTTGAGCCATGAAATTTAACTAGCTAATGGTATTTAATGGAAAGGTATTTATAATGGAAAGGTATTTAACTAGCTAATGATTTTTGGAAAATAGAAATTGTACTTTTGAGGACTTACCATGTTACATGCGAGGCATTTTCTAAAAGTTGTGACATCTGGATCTTAAAATATCCAATGAAGTGGGCTCCTAATACAGATGAGGATGGAAAAACCTGTGGCACAATCCTATACTGTCTTGTTCTGCTGTAGGTTAATCACACACTAAGTCTACAGTTAAGTCTCACTTAAGTGAAGTAAGGAGAAGTTAGATTTCATTCAGGAATGTATTAAAATCGTTTTCTATATCTTTTTTGGAGTCATAATATAATTAAAGGAATAAAATAGAGGTAAGATTACGAAGAAGGGCTGGGGATTTAGCTCAGTGGTGCCTTGCCTGCCTCAAAAGTGCAAGGTCCTAAGTTCTATCTTCGGTATTGAGAAGAAAAAAAAAAAGATTACAAAGGAATCATATAATTTTGTAATGGCATATAAATTGTTCACATTATCAGGTCATGTGTTTTAAGTATACCTCATTAGGAATTTAAAAAAACAATGAAATGGATATAGCAAAAGATATTTAACTTTCTTAAAGTTATTTTGGATACCCGATGTATAGGAAAACTTAATTTTTTAAGAAGTGTACAATTTGAGCTTGGACAAACGTTTGTGTAATCACTACCATACTTGAGTTAAATAGTTGGATCACTTCAGGACATTCCCTTTTCTTTGTAATCAGTTACCTCAGTTCACCCTCAGGTCCTGGTAACCACTGATATGATTGCTGTCACTGTAGTTTTGCATTTTTGAAAATAACATATAAACAGCATCACACTATGTATTGCCTTTTGTGTCTAGCCTTCACTTAGATACTGTTACTGGATGTATCTTAATTGCTAAGTTCTGTACATACAATTTATGGATGTTCTATATCTGGATGTTTATTTAAACAGGCATTGGTTATTTCCAGTTTTTGGTGTTTATGACAAAAGTAAATATAAACATTCATATCTAGGATTCTGTGAAGATAACTTTCATTTCTCTGGGCTGTATAATTAGCAGTGGGGTGCTAGGATGCCATGCTTAACTTTGATAACCTTAGTTGTTTTCCAAATGGACTCACTGAATTTATGTTCTTGCTGTAGGTTATGATCCTTCAGTACTCATCAGCACATGATATTGTCAGACTTTTAAATTTTGGCCATTGAAGTAGGTCTGTAAACTACTCTTTATTAAGGTTTTAATTTGCATTTCCTTAGTGACATCTTTTTCTATGCTTACTTGCCATTCATATATCTTCTTTGGTTAACTGTCTGTGAAAGTCTTTTGTACCTCTATTAAAAATTGTGTTTGGCCAGGGATTTAGCTCTGTGGTGCCACTGCCTGTCTCGTAAGCGTGAGGTTCTGAGTTCAATCCCCAGTACCAAAAAAAAAAAAAGTGTTGCTTACCTTACTGAATTTTCAGAGTTCTGTATGGATTCTTTTTTTTTAGTACTAGGAATCAAACTCAGGTCCTCACGCTTGCCAGGCAGATGCTGTGGCGCTGAGCTACATTCCAAGCTGGATTATTGATGTAAATCCCTTATTAGATGTTTTGCCAATATTTTCTCCCAATCTGTATGGCTTATTTTTACTTAAGTGTCTTGCAAAGAGTAGAAATATTACATTCTGAAGTATTATTTTTTCTTTTATAATTTATAATACATGTCGTATCTGATAAAACTGGTTAATCCAAGGTCATGAAGATTTTCTCCTGTATTTTTTTCTTCTAGAAGTTTCATAGTCTTAGCATGTGTATTTAGAGCTATGATCTACTTCAACATAATTGTGAAAGAAAGCAAGCCGAAACGGGAGCACCCAAGGCAGGGCTTTGTTTGGGAAAGGAGCTGCTTTGCTGTCTCCAACAATGGTGAGAGAGCGAGAGACTAACTGCATGAGGTTTATAAAGGGTTGTATGGCAGGAGAGCACCGTGGGGGTTGAGGATTGGTTGTATTGCTGGGGCAGGCGATGGAATTTAAACTTATTGACTGATGAGTAGCGGGGCAGGGTGGCAAGTTCAGTTCCACTTCCCCGGAGATTAAATGAGAAACAGGCGCCATTTTGAGTAACAGACCTCCCTGCGGCCATTTTGTGTAACATTCCAGACTCTTATTGTTATGGAATAGGGGCAAGGGTCTCTTCTTCTGTAGCTACTTCCTCCTGGCAAAGGGACGCTATTGGGTGGGTGCTTTAGATGGCCGCGGTGAGGTCCCGGTATGGCGAGCTTGTATCAGTGGCGAGGGGCTGGTATCTGGCCGTGAGGAGCTCGCCGACTCTCTGGTTTGTGAATGCTCTCATGCGTTCCTGCAAGAAATTTTGAAAGCACTGGAACAGGCAGGGTCCAAAAAGCAGAATCATGCAGAGTATAGTGAGAGCTCCCAAGAACGTAGGAGCCAAGGAAGCTAGTGGTTAAAATATCTTGACAAAGGATGTTGGTTTTCTAGATCTCCTCTTTTCTATGCTTTACCTCAGTTGTCTAACCTTGTCGCCTATGATGTCTGTCTGATTTACAAAGTAAGTAGCATTCTCCCAGCAAGAGACAGAACCCCCTTCTTTCTGCTGTGATTATTTCCAGAGCACACCTGTTTTGAAGTACTATGGCTGCCAGTGAATTGATCTGCGATTTTAGGGTGACCAAGGAGTCTGCCACCTTTTCTGTATCCTCATTTAGCTTTTGAGATAGGGAGTTATAGAAGTGTGTTGCTGTTGAAATTTCTGTAACCCATTTGTCCATTCCCGCCAGAACTCCGGCTCCCATTAGAAAGGGGAGTAGAGGAAGGGCATGCTTGTTACGATATTGGTTAAAAAAAAAAAAAGCCTAGCACATTTGTTGTTATTATCTGTATGAATTTGGCAGCCTATGGGCAAGAATAAACCAGATTTTTAAGGAAATTAGAGCATGTATAGTCAAGGTACAAGCACTAAAATAAAAGGGGTGGTTTTGGGAAATAGCTATGTTTAGAAAATGTTTTTAAGAGACTAAAGTAGTGAATGTACCTTAACCTTTAGACCCTTCCATTAATGGAAATTATCTATAAGTCTGATATCTTGTTATGATTTCTTTTAATTGTGGCTATAAAAGGACTAAAAATTTAGTAATTCTGAAAAACAATTTGAGCCAAAAAATTTTAAAAACTCTTACTGAGTTTGTATAAATTTTACCATGATTTTATCCAATGACCCTTAACAGTGGTTAGCTACCAGTATATCTGGAAACTGTCAGAAGGGGTCAGCAATTGGAGCCTCTTTTTAAGTCTAGCTATATAACTATGTTCTTAATTTTACATATCTTTAGTTATGCTTTTCTACTGGGTGGTTTAAGACCAAGTTTCAGTGAGACCTATATTAAATAAAATTAACCTCTTGTTATCTATCAAGGTCAATTAGGTCTTTTCAGGCAATATCTTGGATCCATGCAAAGAGCCTCTAAGCTCCTGTCAGCTTTTGCCAAACCATTGTCATATATAGAGGTATATTGATCATTGCTAATTAGCTTTATATGTCAGTGCCTGTTTACTTACATCATCACTGAATATTAATGTATTTATTACTGTTTGGGAACCAGTGAGAAATGTCTTATTGTTTCAGTCTATCTTTGATTCTGATATTAATGAACACTAATCACTTAGTTGTGATTATGCTCTTAATCTGTGTATTTATTTCTCATACATATCTTTTGCCCATTTCTTCCACCTCTGGATTGTCCTCCCCTCCCCAATAATGATACTGG